CTCGGCTCGTTAGAAATAGTCTCCGAGTCCAATATTAAAATCAAAGTTACTTTTTCTTGTAACAGGTTAATGAACCAGTTTATTGGATTAATGGTCAATGATGCAGCACTTGATGTAAGTAATAATTATCATGGGAGGGGAGGGTACTGTCAATCATTCTTGTACCCAATCCATTCTTCCTTTCTTCCCATAAGGCTCTGGGAAACCTGGCATTCTGAAAACCAGAGCCTCAAATATAGATTAAGGAGGGTTTGCACATTTGTGAATGATATTCAAATATGAGATTTTAATTATTTATTATATTTTATCAGATGCCAATTTATCTATTTTTATTTCTTTTTTTTTTTATTCAAAACCTAGGCACTTAAAAGCAAAGATGATAGTTCACTTGATGCGTTCAAATTAGAGCCAGCAGAAACGGTAAGATGCAAGACCTGAATGGATTATTTCATAGAGATTGTTATACAATGGACCCATTCTTTTATTTTATTAATTTTGTTGTTGCTGTTGTTGTTAAATCAAAGTAGAATAAATTATAATGTTACATGTACTGTATCAATTGCCTTTTATGCATAACATTTTTATAAAAGGGAACTCACATATTATATTTTGTGGTCACTGAAAATAAACTTTAACCAAACTAATACTTGGTTGCCATTTCTTATTCAAGAACATTCAAGACGACTTGAAAAGTTTTACTGTAGAGGTATGACAATAAAGCAATTTACACTTTTAACTTGAAGATTGCAAAGCAATCGAAGAGTTATTGGAGGGGGACAAAGCTGTCACTCACTCAGTCACTCACTTTCCTGTAAACTTGAGCCTGCGTTTGAATTATGTACATGTAAAACTATTTAAAATAACCAGTTAGCAATTTATTTTAATAGACATGCAAGCATACAGTGGCCAAGTGTGTTGCTGTGGTGGTAGCCCATCCATTTCAAGGTACAAACATTTGGTTTCTTAAACTCAAAGTACATAAAACTCATTTTGACAAAAGGTCATGAACTACATGTTACATATTTTGTAGTACAATAAGAGGGCTGTCCACTCTACCCGCCCTCGATGTCTTGGATAGGGTCTATATTTTACCTATTTTTCTTGAACAGGGTAATTTGAATTTCGCTATTTTGCTGACTTGAATAGGGCCAGCGTTTAGAAGAACCAACAGAATGTCCCTGTCTGAATCTGAATCAAGTAATCCCCCCGCCACCTGACCCACTCTTTAGTTGAATAAAATGATCAGAACAGGAACGGCAGAGCAGCTTTTAATGTGTGTGTGTTATTTATTAAATTTAAGTATTGACGGTGAGAATGGTTGTACAGTATGTTGGAAAAGAGACTGCGTACAGGTAAATTACATTCATGCATCGCATAATATTTAAAGGTATCAATATATAATAATATACAGCCTTTTGCAAAAATTATGAGAATTGTTGAAATATCTAAATATCATAATATCAAGTGCATGATGGGTAATCCCACGCGATGCCCTTAGTCCCTTGTCTTTGTAGTTTAGTATTTTTTGGCAACGGACTTATCCGTAGTTCTGAATATTTTCTCGATGTCAAGAATGAATTATTCTAGCAAACCCGCGTGTTCTGGACAATATATGGATATGGATATTATGATATTTAGATATTTAGACAATTCTCATAATTTTTGCAAAAGGCTGTATATCAACATATAATATTATATATCAACTATTTAAATTAATTTAAAAAATAATATCTGTATTTCTTTTATTGAACAGATGTACATTTGACATTATTTTGATTACAATATATTATTTCATTGGAAATTAATCACATTTGATTTTATGAAGTATATAGTCATGTGCAATGTAGTATAGTGTGTGGTAAGTATTGTACCCATCCAATAAATTTTAATTTTTCTTTGTTAAGTGGTCTGGTGTCTTCAGTAAAAGAAATCATGAACAACCATGGGATAACAGGTTTCTTTGAGTAAGTAATAAGTATTGACTATTATTATTTATTATTATTATTATAGAAGTACTTCTAAAGACTGATTCCATAAGCCGTAGTATTCTCTCCTCGTTTTTTTCAGTTTGTCACTGTGAGGGACAAAATATTTTGACAGAGAGGAAACTGGTACCCACTTATGGAATCAGTCTAAGAAATACTCAGTTRAATTATTGTCTCTAACTTTATAATAAATTGTTATTTTCTCTAGTGGAATTGTTCCTAGACTTGTTGGGGAGGTRCTTTCATTGTGGATCTGCAGAACACTTCATTTCCTGGTSACAAAATATGGYTTAGACAAAGAGGTACTACACTTCTTATAGTCCGATTAAATCCAAGAGTATGAGCCATTAAATAATAATTCATAACAGGCAAATGAAGAGAGATTTTGACAAGCAATGTGTGACCTATTCTTAGTGGATTAATGGCACATAAAACCAGGTGTGTCATATTATTTTAGTGTAATGCCTTTCATTGTTATTTTGTCAGGTTGCTTCAAGAAAAGAGATCAATATGTATACCACTGCTCTTTCCCAAGTAAGTTTTCCTGGAG